AAAAAAAAAAAAAAAGATTAGTAGGTAGAACAGTAGAGGATACTTTTCAGTGTTTAATACCAACCACTGTCAAAATAAACAGATGACCTTAAAAACACTATTTGAGCTGGATGTGGTAGTGCACACTTGTAATCCTGGAACTCAGGAGGCTGAGGCAGGAGGATTGTCATGAGTTTGAGGCCAGCTTTGGCTATGTAGTGAGTTTAAGGTCAGCCCAAACTATATAGTGAGACTGTCTCAAAAAACTTTTTTTTTTGGTCTGGGCTATGGGTTGCCTTGTTGGTTATTTTTCCTTTTAATAACAAGTTAATTCAGATTGTCATTGGTATCCACTTTCTCTGAGGAAGTACTTAGTTATATTTTTCTTTTACAGATTGATTATACCGGAACAGAGCCTTCCAGTCCCTGCAATAAATGTTTGTCTCCGGATGTGACACCATGCGTTTGCACCATTAACTTCACAGTGGAAAAGGCATTTGAGGTCTGTGTTTCCAAGTAAGGTCTTAGAAGAGCTGTGCTTTACACAATATTAATACTGTACTTTTTTTTTCAAGCTAGGTACTTTTTTTTGGTAGAGAAGACCATTTAATTTATTGGATTCATATACTTTTGAAGATATGCTCGGCTGTTGTATTTTGCTGTCTGATAATTACATTTATTTGAGTGGTTTACTTAGTACTTTGTGGACAATATTTAAGGTGAAATTTTATCCTTTCACCGGAAAAATTTATAGCTGTACAATTTTTATGTCACTTATAGCTCCATGTACTTGTATTTTTAAAATTATTGCTCAAATTGTCTTGCATACTATAAATAGTAATATTTTTATTATTTTATTGAATTACTTTTTTGAGATATGAAGGATTACAAAAATGCACACACTAAAACTTTCATTTTTTCTTGTATTTTGCTAAGTCATTGAATCATCTTTCTGTGTGTGTGTGTGTGTGTGTGTGTGTGTATGTGTGTTGCATTGACAGTGATTTCCCTTTCTTAGTAACTGAGCAGAGGCTGAAGGACATATAGACTCAGAATAGGCATAGAAGGACCAGTTTGCCTTTACCTACACATTGAGGTTAAAGAATTAGTCTTCAGGGAAAAAAACTGCTTTAATACAGGCCAGCATTGTAGATTTTCTCCATTTCAGATGTCTAAAGGTAGTGATACTTTAGCAGCTCCTGAGAGAAGGTTGCCATCTAGTTGTTGTAGCTACTCTTAAATTAAGATAAAGGACAGGGTAATGCCTTTGGAAAAACCAGGGAAACTAATTTGGGAAAGAACTTTGTTTCAAAAGAATAACGTATACATTCAGTGTATCTTTAAAAGTCTGCTTTTTCATCATGATGGCAGAACTAGAAAAAGACTTTTGGTTTGTCAGAACAGGTAAAATTGAAGAAATGAGACTTAGAGTGACTTAGAAGCTCCTTCCATTGGTCTCCTCTTCCATTCAAAAACACTTATTTCAGAACTTTTCTCTGTAAATGTGATTAACCTCTGATTCATTCTTTTGTAGGTTCTTTGTTTTTTCACAAATTGAATTAGACTAAAACATTTTGAGGGATTGTAGTGATCTTGAAGTAGGTTATTTTGTCTCAGTGTTCACTGAAGCATCCCTTTCTTATTTTCAGTTTTGGTATTTTTGCTGTGCTGGGAATTGAACCTAAGGCCTCGCATATACTAGGCAAGTGCTCTACCACTGAGCTACATCCACAGGATGAACTCCCATTCCCACCCCCTTTGGTGTTTTTTTTTGAGACAGGATCTTATTATGTAGCTAGGTTGGTCTTAAACTCACAGTCCTCCTGCCTCAGCCACTGGAGTGCTAGGCTTATTAATATGCACCACCATATCCGGCCCTATACTGATCCTTAATTTAAAACGATACTATTTTTTCCCAGAAAAGCATATTTATCCTCTGGATTTCTGTGATATAATTTTGATATCTCTTTTTGTAAAAAGATTTCCATGTAAACAGTTTATATAGAATAGGAACGTTTACATAACTTGACATTTGAAAATCAACCCCTCCTACTCTGGGAGAGCAGTGTTGATCTCAGGGCCTTCTCCTTGAGCTACATCCCCAGTCCAATTTTAAATTTTGAGATAGAACCTTGCTAAGTCTCTTAGTTGTCCAGGCTGGGTTTGAACTGTGATCCTCCTGCCTCAGCCTCCCAGAGTGCTAGGATGCCACCAGACGTAGTTGAAAATCAAGTTTTAATGATAGTATAATATGAAAATAGGAAATCAAATAAAGAACTCATAATGTAACTAAATTTCTTTTGATTTGTTTGAAGATAATTTTAAAAATAGCAGTAGCAACCAGAAATGAGAATGTAACTTAATAGATTTGCTACTTCTGAAAACTTTAGTTATTAGAGAATAGCGTTTTAACAGTTCACAAATCAGTGTACTATATGTAGTTTACCCTTTCTTCCCAAGTTAATTTGAAGTTGACTCCTCTAAATACGTTAAAGTACTTATTATTACAAAGTGACTCATTATATAATATACTTTACTAATTACATTTATTAATTGCTAATAGGCTATGACAAATTTTATATTCTTATTCAGTCAGAATTTACTTGGACAACAAATGACAATTTGACTATTATCCCTCTGAAAATTTAATTGGGTAAACACCAGTCTGAATCAGAAAATAAAGAATAAAAGCTCAAAATAGGCTAATAAATTATTTCAGAGTTGTTTTTAATGTAACATTTGGAAGTATTTAAGGACAGTTCGAAAGTTTACTCTTGGGTTTTTATAGCATACCTTCTTTAATTTGTTATCACCAATTATAAAGTAGTAAAGCCCACATTACTCAGTTTTATATGCACTTGAAACAAGTTAATACATAATAGTTTTTAAACAAAAAAAATGTTCCTTTTTCATTTCCTCTAGGGCAATGTGTTTATGTATTATGGCCTGTCTAATTTTTATCAAAATCACCGGCGTTATGTGAAATCTCGAGATGATAGTCAGCTAAATGGAGATTCTAGTGCTTTGCATGTAAGTAAAATGATGAAATATGAAAATTGATGTCTGTAAAATAACACATAGTAACCACTGAGTTAGAAATGTTAAAAGTATTTAATAATGTTAGGATGAAATTAAAGCATTCCTTTTCATTCTAGTTTGAATAGTGAGGGTTTTTAGTTAAAACTTTTTTCTGGGAATTTGCATAGGTTAATTACTTCTTACAGCCAGAGAACATCTTAGCATCTGTTTGCATCTAGTCATCATTGGGATTTGGGCTTTACTATTCTGCTTGTAATGGTATTTTGGTGAGTCTAGCATTCTGGATGTATAAATGTACTCTCTTTGGGTTTGTTCATTATTACCATGCTAAGTAGAAGTGTACAGATAACCTGCTTTTAATTTCTAGGCTTGTGTTTTAAAATTGAATGGGATACTCTTCTTTCTTTTTCACTTGTGGAAAGCCTGAGTAGTAAAATCCAAAAGGTGGATTACTGACAAACTATGCAGCTATTTGCAAATACAGATTCCAGAACTGCTCAGAGGCTATATGTCAGTGTCTGCAGGGGTGGAGTCTAGAATGTCTGTTTTTAATAAGCTCCCCTTCCGATGCCTAGCCTTATTTGGGAATGTTAACTAAGAGTTCTTAGTTTCTTGACCATTCAACTTTTCCAAGTAGTGATTAGTGCCTAAGTAGTTTATGTTATTATTCCTCAATGCAGCAAACATTCAAAAACACAGAGCAATTTTGGATCTCAGAACTGGTGACTGTCTTAGAATGCAGTGTAAAACTATATTGCAGTCAGAATGGGCCTGGAAAACTTACAACTGCCTTAATTAAGTTATCCTGACTGGTTTTATTGCTATTTTCTAATGACTGGGATTTAAGAAGTACAGTACCAGTCTATTTAGATCTTCCCTAGTGTGCACAGGGTTCTAGTTAGGTCTGTAATATTTTGTAACCCATGTAGGATTTACTACATAGAGTCTATTTTTTAGGATTCATATCTACTGTGAGAGATACTAAGTTCCTAGACCTTTCTGAATTTGTTTATTGGGATTGTAGATTGTATGTGTTCAAGGACCCACAAGTGGTGCTTGATGTACAATTATATTACTATTATATCCTAAGAGTCTGCATTAGACTCTTTCTTTTTTTTTAGACATAGGATGAACAAAATTTGAAACTAATTAGTTGGGCATTTCATTTTATATGTGAGGCTCAGTTTAATCAAGGGAGTGGTCTAAGAAATGAGAACCTTTAGTCTATTTACTTCCAGTTTCTGATTCCCTTTATTATGTTACAGCTAGTTTGACAATAGACTATTTTTTAATTTTTATCAGGCAGAAAACTCTTTATGATTTCTATGTTGATATTAAGATTAAAAAGATACTAATTTGATGTATGCATATATAACAGGATATGCAAGTAGAAGTAGCATTGAAAAGGTAATACAGTCGTATTAAGGAATACATTTCTTGAGTATTTAAATGTAGTGTTATTTATAATGTATTTTTGTTACACATTGATTTTGCATGTATTACAAGTGAAAAAAGGCAGGGTTTGAATTTTTAATCAGTAATTTGAGATAGCTCATAGTTCCTCCAGAGGCTTATGCAATATCTCTCTTCTTTTCCTTTTAAAAACCAGAATCCCAGTAAGGAATGTGAGCCTTATCGAAGAAATGAAGACCTACCAATTGCTCCTTGTGGAGCTATTGCCAACAGCATGTTTAATGGTATGGTACAGATACAAACATAGATACAGATATAGACAAATATAATTAGGACACTTTGTACAATCTTCCTACAGATTTGATAGTCTAGTAATCATGAATGAAACTGAGAAATTCAACTTTACAATAAATACTTAATTAAGTATTGAGTAGGGTTTATAATGCTTTGTGACTGACTTCCTTTTTTTCGTACTAGGGATCAAACTCAGGACCTTACACTTGCAAGGCAGGCAGTGGAACCACTGAGCTAAATCCCCAGCCCCTGACTTCCTTTTGAGCATCTTTGTATTTAAGAATAGATTTCTGTCTCTGAGAAGAAAGAAGTGAAGATGTTTTGCTAATATTCTAATCCGTATATAATAAAAGCCAGGCTGCTTATTCCCATTGACTTTGATTACTGATACCATTTGAAAGGAGCTGTCATTAATCATTTGGAGTGTGATGGAAATATGTAGATCATAAACCTGAGCCAAATAGTTAATTTTAATTTTGTACTACTCACATTAAGAAGTCTCAAAAGAAACAAGTGAAATTGATGTTAATATTTTTATTTAACCCAGTATGCCAAAAATATTACTATTTCGGTATATAGTAGTACATAAAACTTACTGCAATTAATACATATTTTATACTAAGTCCTTTATGTGTGTTACAGAACATGTTCATTTGTACCAAACACATTTGAAGGGTTCAGTAGCCATGTGGGCCTTTGTGCAGACAGAAATTAATATGCCAGAAGGTATCAGGAATGTGCTATTGACAAGAAAGGAAGAAAGGGAGATTTACCTTTTAATTTTATTTGATTAAATATTGAAACACTTGACCTTTTCACATATTAGCTAGCTAGCCCTAGAGGAAAGTGACTTAGATCTGTATTGAGGGAAGAGAAGTTCATCTAGAATTATAAAGTTAACATAGCCGATCCATGTCTGAATAAAGAGCAGACGTAAATCATGTGCCTTCTCTGTCACAAACACTCTGGGGAGCAAATACCACGTCTTCACTTTTTCATAGAGTAAAACAGATGCTGTGGATTTTTAGCAGATGTTAACTATTATTTTCCTTTTCTTGTTAGATACATTAGAATTGTTTCTGGTCGCCAATAAATCTGATCCTACCCCTACCCCTATTCATTTGAAAAGGAAAGGTATTGCTTGGTGGACAGACAAATACGTGAAGTTCAGAAATCCTCCTGGAGAAGGAGCCCTGCAAGAACGGTTTAAAGGTGAAAAGCACTCATATCCATCACAAAAGATAAACCAGATATTTTAGTGAACTATCTTAACTTTTTATCTTTAGAATCTTAAAATGTTTGCTTTGAAAATTTGTCTTTCCTCAACTTCATGCCAATTTAGGTATAAGTTCTGATGTATTAAAATAGTAAAGGAAATACATTCTTTTAATTGTGAGTCCAATTTCTTTGGGGTTTTCTTATAAGCATTTCAGCTATAATCTTTTATACCTATAGCAAAATTTGTTTTAAACAAGACTATTATTTATAACACAATTTTATTTTTGTTTCAATGCTGCCTTAATTTAACAGTGTAATTTTGTGTGTGTGTGCAGTACTGAGGATTGAGCCCACTGCATCCCCACTTTTTAAAAATAATTGTTTTGGGCCGGGAATTTAGCTCAGTGGTTCTGCCACCTGCCTCGCAAGCGCAAGAACCCGAGTTTGATCCCTGGTACCAAAAAATAAAAATAAAAATAATTGTTTTGCCATCCTCCTACCTTAGCCTCCCAGAGTGCTTGGATAACTGACTTGTATATGTTTTTTTGTTTTTTGTTTTTTTTTCAAGCGTGTTTATTTATTCTTCTGCAAATACAGCAGATCTGTGCCTGCAATTATTTTTAAGAGAAGAAACGTTAAGTCATTTGGAGAAGCAGGTGGGGCCTGGGGCTTGAGCATGGGAATGAGAGGGCAGAGTTGGCTGGGGTGAGTGTGGGCCAGCGGAGGGGCCTAGCCAGCCCTAGCAGGCCTTCTCCAGGAAGGCTTTGCAACACGAGATGCACTGCTGGTACACCAGCTCGAAGTCAGACTCATTCCCATAATAGGGGTCTTCAATGATGAGCTGTTTCTGTGGATCATAGCTTCCAAGCAGTTCAGTTTTAGCTTTACAGTTTTTAACTTGATTGCTTTTTCTATTCAAATCTCTCAGATTGCTTTCATCCATACACAGTATGTAGTCAAACGTTGGGAAGTCCTCGGTGACCTGCCAGGCAACATGACTCATGGGGATGCCATACTTCTTCATGCAACTTTGCCCTCGATAGTCAGGGGGGGTTTCCCTCTTCATATGTAGATGTGGCTGCACTGTCTGTCCTCCAGTTATCTGAAATGTTTTAATCAGTTACAAGTTTTCTGAAAACTGCTTCTGCAATGGGTGACCGGCAAATGTTACCCAGACACATGAACAGCACGGACTTCAACCCGGACTCGGCCATATTTCAGCTTGGTCACCCTTGTATATGTTTCTTAACATATTTTTCCACTAAGTAACCTCCCTTTTAGTATATGCTGAATATTCTTGTTTTTGTAGTCTCTTGAGATACCAACCAAGTCGTCAGTTTTTTTTGTTACACAAGGAATTGGTTTCTTAGCTTTTAAGACTTCCTTAGAAGATGAATATATATATGCCTTTGAAATTAAGAGTTTCAGATTGTGTATTGCACATATGTATTAGTAGAGTGTGTGACTTTTTACTGAAATTCAATAGAATGAATATTTTGTTTCCCTGCCCCTCCCTCCACTCCTTAAGGAACAACAAAGCCAGTAAACTGGCTCAAACCAGTGTACATGCTGGATTCTGAAGAGGATAATAATGGCTTCATAAATGAGGATTTTATTGTTTGGATGCGCACTGCAGCATTGCCTACTTTTCGAAAATTGTATCGTCTTATAGAATGGAAAAACGATTTACATCCAACATTACCAGCTGGACAGTACTATTTGAATATCACATATAGTATCCTTTTCTGGTTGTGTATGCGAAGTCATTGAACTTGAAAGGAATCTACTGCAGTCATTTCAGTGCTGCAGTGTGTTACTCTGTGCTTTAGTTTTGATTCCTGCATTTTTATGAGTATGTGTGTATGTAGGGAATATATCTTCTAGAAAGGTCTCAAATTTGTATGTACTTGGATTTGTACTAGGATTTCAAGCATATCACTTGGTAAAATTACTTAAAATGTAGGTGCTTTATTTATTGATAAGCTGGATATTTTTATAAGGGAGACTATAATTATTATAGGGCTTGACACAAAGGGTAGTGAGTGTACCTAATATTAAACAGGTTATATTAAAACAGCCTGGCTGGATGTGGAAGTACATGCCTGGAATTCCAGGACTGAGGGAGGAGGATCACATCTAGTTCAAGGCCAGCCTGAATTACATAGTGAGACCCTGTCTCAAAAAAACCAAAAAAAAGGACCCAGCCTGGACTATATAATAAGAAACGAAACAAAAACCACTAATGAAAAAAACAGATGTATTAATTTACATGAGCATAATTGTTCATGCTTAATTGATCTATTTATAGTATCAAAACATTTTATCAGCTGTATTATTCTACATTAATAAATCAGGTTCACTTTCATTAATGATATTTATTCCATTCTTACTATATTTCAACACTGTTTTAGATACTTTCCATGTATTTAATTCAAGTAGTAATATGAAGTAGGTATTGTTTTCATGTTATAAACAAGAATACTGGAACCTGTTGTACTTATGTAGCTGACATAGGTTATACAGGTAGTAATGAGAATAGCTGGGGTTCAGACCAAGGGATTGACTCCAAAGGCTGTGACCCAATCCTCAGCCACCACCACAGGCTGCATCCTGGCTAGGTCACCAGGATGCCAGACCAATCTGTACCTTCATAGATGCAGAGTCTTTCTTAGCGGGGAAATATTTTGTTCTAAAGAAAGTCCTTATATCTTTTAATCACTAGTCCATTGTATATATATATATATATATAGTAAATGAAAAGATTCCTAATATTAGCATTTTAAATATTTGGTGATATTTCCATTTTTTTTCATAATCCAAATGAGCCATAAGGGTATAGTTTTGTTGCTATAATGAATTAGTAACTGATTAAATTAATACACGTTTCAGAATAGTGATTATTTTTAGAACCTGGACTTTTGATGTTACACCTGAATACATAAATGAATATGGCCTGAGAGTGGCAGAGTGAAAGTGACAAGTTTCTGAAGCTAGGCTCATGTAGGAACAATTTTGGACGCAAGACGCACTTCCGGTACTGGCAGAAAGAACATCCTGAGGAGGAAGCCACAGCAGAGGGCAGCTCTGACAGCATCTAAAAGGTCTAGTAGAGAGTAAGGATAAATAGCAGCTGGTAGTCTGCAGAGCACAGTGAGGGAAGTCTGTGGGGTGGCAGGAGTTCTTAGTTGACAGACAGTTCAGATGCAGGAAGTCTGCAGCAGGGTCCCAAGCACCGGAAGGGGAACTGTCAGGAAGAGTGCAGGGTTTCTTGAAGACCAACAAGACAGGAATTTGGGCCTGTGAACATCCAGTGTTGATGATCAAAATGGGCTGTAAAATAGGAACTAGATACTGGAATTAAGGCAGAAGCCCATCTTTTAAAGGCAAAGACAGCCTAGCATGGATGATTTGATGCTGTGTTGGGTCCCTAGAGTGTTGGATTGTGCAAAGCACCTGAAATTATTCCTGCCTCAGTGTAGAATTGACTTAAGACATCAGTAGAACTGAGCCTGCCATTTGGAGTCACAGGGCTCCACCTGTGAGGGTGGAGAATTGCAGAAACTATAGAAACAGACGGGGCCCAATGCTTGATTCATATGATGCTTTTGAAAAAAATGCACACTTTTTTGTCCTGTCTTCTCTGTACCTGCTTACCAGAATCTTAGAACAGGTCCATGCAGAAAATACATCTGATATACTAGTGTTCCCTTTCTTAAATTTCCTACATAGCCACCTTTCACTTCTACTTTGTTCTAGTCTTCAGCTCTGTGCCACACTGTGAATTTTACCATTACCCAAATCAGCAAATTAAATCTTTAGTACCATGCTTTTTGTCCTTGTGCTCAGAGCCCTCTCAGTCTCCTAGCTACATTCTTGTTACACAGGCTCTTTGAGCTTGCAGATACTTCTGCTTTCTTAATTTTTCCATTTGCTCCTGCTCTGTTAACCTCCCCTTCCTGTGTGGGCTTCATTGGTGTTCATCAGAAGTATTTTTTTCATACTATATTACTTTTGAAGCTTTTTACCCCTCCTGTGTAATAAGAGCAAAACCACCTGAGAAACTACTTATGTAACTCCTATTTTTTTGTAAAATATAATATATATCCTTTAAAAATAGATATTTTTTGTGATTCAGAACATGAGTAAAATACCTGTGTGTCATAGAATTATACATATGAATTATAAGCAACTAAATAGCAACTTTAAAATTTGTATTTTAAACACTGAGTAACCAGAGCTGGAAAAGGCTTCCTATACCCTCCTCAGATTATCCAGTACATTCTTTTGATGGACGAAAACGGATGATCTTGAGCACTATTTCATGGATGGGAGGAAAAAATCCATTTTTGGGGATTGCTTACATCACCGTTGGATCAATCGCTTTCCTTCTGGGAGTTGTTCTGCTAGTAGTTAATCATAAGTATAGAAACAGTAGTAACACTGCTGACACCATAGCATTTTGAGGTTGGCTCATAAAACTTTTTTTAAGAACAGTCTTTGTCCTTTGCTTCTTTGCTATGGATGGCTTATAAAATATATGATGGATATAAATATTAGGTATATTGATTCATATCAATACTGTAACTGTTAAACTTGCATTTTTATGTTTGCTTCTTTTAGGCCAGTCTACATGATACATAGAGCTTCTTTCATGTGAAATTTATGTACTGCTTAAATGTTGATGCTGTGTCAATATCATATTGACATATAATGCTGTACATGTGTGCTGATTACATGAAGAAGGGTTAGAAGTGTAATCACTTGCTAACCTTTCAGATTCAAGAGTCACAGAAAGATGAAAGACTAAATGTAAACAAAATATGTCATCATTTTCATGTGTCATGTGTAAAGGCTTAAAGTACCATCTTTATTTAGCTGGTTCCTTTATTCAGTTTGTCCATTCTAGTGTTTAGTGAAGCTCAGCTTTGATTTCAAAGGGTATGCTTATCTGTAAGGCATGGAAGGTAATGCTCATGTCTAAAGAGGGCAGGCATGTCCTGGACAGGAGAATTAAAATTTCTTCCTTTCACTTGTTAAAACATTGCACTCGGGAACCCCAGCTCATTTGAAATGTTTTTCCATGTGGTCTTTTCCCTTGAAGCTTTTGCTTAATAAGGGAGAAAGAATATAGGTGTGACGGGCAAATGCCCTGGCAGACCTTCATCCTCTGCCTCCTCTGTAGACTAGAGGTCAATGCCCAGAGAAGGCTGTTTTTGTTCTTGTGGTATTTAACGTTCAGAAACTTACTTCAGCATTGGAAATACCTCAAACTATTCTTCTTTTGCAGGTAAGTATTTTGGCTTAAGTGCTAACGTTATATTCCAGAATGTTTGAAAGTTTAATTTCCTTCAATTTTTATGTACAGGTCAAAAATGGATGTGTATTTTGGATATACATTCTCTAAGGGCCGGGGATTTAGCTCAGTGGCGCTGCGCCTGCCTCTTTAGTTAATTTATCAATTGTTTTGGTTGGTTTTCCAAGACATGCTTTAAGAAGATATTCTATAAATATCCTATTTCTGGGGATTTGGGAATATGTACATGATTAATTACAATGTGTATGGTTGAAGTTATTTGCTAACTGGGATTATTTTAATATTCCTTATTGAATAAATGCTGTAATTGTTTGCTATGGAACTTATTCTTGAAGTAAATGCAAACTTATTTTTCCACATACATAAAAATGTATGTATTTAATAGAGGTGATTTAATTGCATCTTTTTAAACTAAAAACTCATGTTTATATAGAAGAATGCCTGTTTGTAATAATTTCATTCAGTCATATTTGAAATTAGAAGGTCTGGGTAATATATCAATTTTGATTAATATATTTTTTTAAGAAATAAAAAAAGTAGTTAATAGAAATGTACCACAGATTAAGTTTTGTATAACATGAAACTTAGTTAAGAGAACTTGTAATTCATCATGACTTTTAACTCATAAAAATATTACTTCCATGAGTTACCTGGTATATGATTCTCCTAAAATTTCTGAGTAGAGAGAGTATTCTTTATCTAGATACAGTCTTTGTTTTGCCAGTCCTTTGGAATGCTGTTTATCTGAAAATTGTCCTTTTTTCACATAGTGTTTGTTTTTTGGGTCATGGTGGATGGAGATTTTTTCATTCTTTCTAGATTGAGTCTGTGCTGTTTAAGGAGGTCTGCTGTCCTGCATCCATCTCTCTGTGTCTCTCTCTGTCCGTTTCTCTGTTTATTGCCCCCCACCCCTTTTTTAAACTGGGGGACTAGATAAAAGAAAAGTTGAAGAAGGGCTTGGGATGTACCTCAGTGGCGCCGCACCTGCCTGGCAAGCGCAAGGTCCTGAGTTTGATCCCAGTTACCAGAAAAAAAAAAAAAAAAAAAGTTGAAGAGCTCTTCCAACATTTTCACATTGCCAGAGAAGTTTAAAATATAATTCAATTTAATCCATTGTACAAGTGTATTGATGGCTTAAGGCCCTCCTCTCTCCTGCTATTTGAACTCTGAGGGATTCCTCTTCCTAAATATGAAGAAAATTCATATGAAGATATTCATATGGCCCATGTGAAGCATGGGGAAGGGAAAACATTTCCTTCTTACAGATCTTATGCTTAAATTTTGGGAACATTGATGTCATACTCAAATTTCAAGGAATCCTACTGCATTTTAAGGCAATCAGGTTAAGTAGATGATTTGGAAAATGCATTAATTTGTAGGAAGTATTTTATCGTGAAAAGTTTTCCAGTTGAAGATATTCAGTAAATAAAAGCTAAGAAATTTCATTGAAATCCTGAGGTGATTTACAAATAAGTGGGAAAAAAATGACTGTACTACCTAATAGAGAATCATTCACCCTAAAGAGTCAAGTGGGTATGATTTATTGGATAGTGACAATTTATTTTTAACCTTGAGTATATTAAAAGATAACATTCTGTTTGTATGCTCTGCATTAATAAAAATGAACAAAATTAATTTTGGTGTGTTCGGGTGTCTTGCTAAAATAATGTTCTGGTGGTGTTGCTGATGTTTAACATTCAGCTTTAAGTCAAGGTCACTGAGTTCAGGTTTCAACTTCATGCTTAGATTTAATATGCTGTTCATTATTAGGCTATTTGTATTCATTACTCTGACAACTAAATCACTATATATATATATACATATATATACATATATGTATATATATATAACTGAGGAATATCTGTTCTTACTAAGAAGTGCTCAGGTTATTATCTGAGCTATAGACAGGCTGGCTAAGTTTGGTATTATATCAAGAAGCAGCTTTAGTAAACAGGCATGCATAATGAAAATAATGAAGATCACACAGGAAGTGAAAAGGCTGAATACTAAGGGGAGGCTGAGAGCTTCAGGTTAATGAATGCTGTCTGAGCCTGTTGCCTCAAGCCTTCATGGGAATATTGCCTTAGAATTATTACATGCACTTCTTTGTTGGTTAAGTTGTAAAATTTTGTTCTTCATGAATGTGGAAGTTTTGAGGGCCTGGTAGAAGGAATAAGGACATGATGCTGTTAACAAGATGTTTGATTCATAAATGTCTGCGGTAGAGTTTGGGTGATCTAGTAAATGTTATAGAACCACTTTTTAGTCTATGCACCATTCAGTAAACTAAAATCAGATTTCTCCTAATATCATTTGAAATTTCACAATAAATATATTTTCTAAAAACAAATCAGTCCGTGGTGGCCTTATTTGCTTTTATATATCTATAAAATAAATATGTATACACAATAAGTTCAAATAATAAAGTTCTAAATGCTTTATGATAATGAAACGGTACTCTCTTCCTGAGCTTATCTTTCCTTCCCAGAGACCATTACATTGACCCCAAAATTGTATTTTTTTAAATCTCTATCAAAACAATGTCTATTCCACTTTTGTTTGATGTAAGTTTAGATAGCTTCTTGATAGTGTTATATGGTAATTTCTAACATTTCTTGCCTTCACTTACATAGTTATATCTTATTAACTAATAAACAGATTATTGTTTGACTATAAAAATAATATTCTATAGACTGTACCATGATTACATTTCTTTGTGTAATTTTATTTTTCCTGGTATTAATATTTGTCTCAGTCTGAAGACGTAGGTATTTTTCTGTAAACCCATCTTTAAAATTTTCCTACTTTTCTGTGAGGTCCACCGTGGTCTTATCACTAGTCTCAAAGGGTTTTTGTGCACAAATAACAGGTAATAATGTATGTGTTTTCACTAGGATGGTCTCTTATGCAGTAGTTCTGTGCCAGTCTACACGGGTTGCCTTTGGCCTGCTGTGCTGTTGATACCTCATTACTTCCCTTTGTTACTCTTGCATGTTGTCATCTGATTCACTCTCATGTTTACCGAGTCCTTCTGAAACATACATCTGCCTTAGAAGTGTTATATTGTAGGAAGCAGCCTGTGAGCTCAAACCTGACCAAGAGGTGATGAGGATGGAAAGTAAAAAGACATAGAATCGGTTTAAAATATGGAGGACCAGGGGGCTTTTGTCTTCCTTTAACAGAGTGCCCTGAGTGGCATACCTTGGCTTTATTCCCTCAGACACAAGTACAAGCAATTAGAGTTATACAGGATTATCTGTCTCCCACCCTCCATTGTACTTTTTCCCTGGTACACAATAGAATCTCAACTGGTTTTACTTTTTCCTCTAGCATGTCAACATGCTTCTGTGCTGCTTTTCTTTTTAGGGCTCACCAATTAGGCCTCAGTCTTTCTATCCGGTCTCCCACCATATATGAAAGATAAATTTTTGGAGTTCTTAACATGTCTAAAGTGCCTTTTTGCTGCCTCACATTTTATTGTCAGAAATAATTTTCTTTCCAAGTTTTGAAGACGTTTACCCCCACTTTTAAGGGTTCCATTCCTGCTTCTGAGAAATCTTATCTGATCTTAAGAGGTTTGGCCTTCTGGATTGGTGTCTCCTTTCCTTCTCTTTTTCCTCTCGTTGTTTACATGTTATTGTCTATTCTTTCTAGAATTTTTCAATTTTTTTTCCTAAATTGTCTTCCTTCTGTTGAATTAGTAATATATTTTTTAAAAATAGTTTAATTTCTAAGACTTTCATTTCTGCGCTTTTCATAATTTCCTAGTCTTTGTTCATATATAGAATATGTTTTCTGAGAGTACTTATGGATGTATATATTATTTCTTTGATTTCCTCACTTGTTAAGACTTAAGATTTTTAGTTATTGTTGGTCAGTCTTTTTTTCTTTTGTTCATATTGACAACTTTTCTTGTATTTCTGGCTAGTCTCAATAACTGATAGACCCCCCCAAAAGAGTATTTGAAAGCTCTGTGTTTGTGGCCAGTGCTTAACAAGTGATAGATTTCACTAGCGCAGTCCCACTGGGCAAATTATTTGTTACCTTGTTTCTGATAAAAAGTTTAGATAAGTAATAAATAGTTGGCAAGTCTGCATTCATATATATAGACCACACTTTGTGAAGCACTTCACCAGGGAATGATTGGTAGGGAGTCCATCCTTTAAGTAGTAGCCTTTTCTCTGGGATTATTTTGTTTTTCTAAGGAAGAATTCTCTTGTCTTCTGGAGAAGGAAATGGGTTGAGGAAGGGTCTGTTTTCTTACTGCTTTTCCATCTTCTCATTTGTACTTGACATTTTCCTTTACTTCCCTGTGTCTCTGCTACTTAGTTGTCTCCCATTAATTCCTCCAGATAAAAATTCTCTATTTCTTCTACGTGTGAGAGACAGAATGAATGTGGGAGACCATGTGTGTGGCAGAGAGGGTAAGACAGATTGTGGAGCTTGGAGCTTTCAGTTGTGCAGTTTCCAGCTGGTCCTTTTCAGACCTGTCCTTGACTCCACTTTGTTATAATCTTCACCTCTGTATTTGAGCTTTTCAGTGGTCTGGACCAGTTGAGATGCTTCTCAGTGATATCCCTCTTCAGTGGCTTTAGGTTGTGGTGGCTTTTGTCCAGGTTAAGTCATAGTACACCTGGTTTTCATCTTCCAGAAACTTGTGGAAGACATTTACCAGTTGCGATCTCCTTTCTCTATCCTTTTGTGCTTAGACCCCTTCACAGATTATATGGTAAAGTTTACTTTTTTCTGTAATGCATATTTCTGTTACTTTTAAGACCATAAGAAGATACAGAGCAGTACCATCACCTCACCAAACTCCCATAGAGTATCTCTTCATAGTCACCCACTTTCCCACTGAGAAGCCCTGATAGCCACTGATTTTTCTCCATCCCCATAGCTTTGTCTTCTAGAATATTCTAAATTATCCTTTTGAAACTGGCTTATTTCATTTAGCATAATGCCTTAGATTCATGTAAGTTGGTGTGTGTACCAGTTTTCTTCTTTTTGCTTTCATTTTGTTTGAATGGAAGGGAACTCTTGGGGCCAGTACACACTCAAATCAGAAAAACCTTGAAGCAAATATACTCTTCACCTTTTTATGATTTGTAACATTAAAAAAAACCTTAAAAGATAAACTTAAGTACTTTAAGTGATGTGAGCAGGAGCTGTCTGTATATTACAAGCTTTGTTATTCAGGGGATTGTGAAAGGTGGAACTCACCATGCATGGCTTTCAAGCCTGACAAGCCAGTTTGTTTCAACCACCAGAAAGCAGAAAAAATAGCTTTGCAAATATGTGTCAGTTGTACTTGAGCTCTCCTAGCTCTTCTCCTGCCCTTGAGACTCTGGTCTAAAATAATGTCTGCAAGTATGCTGTCTTGCCTTTTCACAACAAAACTGTTACATTGGCTTTTATTTTGTCATCTTCAACTTCAGTCAGACCTTTACCCTACATCTGCGCTGTTCTCCATTCACCATCACTTGTGTTGTGGGACTGTATGATTCCAAATTCAATTACTCCCCTAGCCTCTATTGTATTTAAAAATTAATGGTTAAAATGTGCTTGTTAGTTCTGGGATAATAGATAAAATCTGTAACAAAACAAAGTTCCTAAGTAAATTACTCAACCCCTTGTTTGCCCGGAGAACGAATGTTCCCAGACCCACTGTTGATAAAACAATCCATCAATGTGTCTGCCGACCTTCAGTACGTGATGGTCATGACCATATGGTCGTGACCATTAGTGTGTGTGTCTGCTGACCATCAGTACGTGACAGTCGACCACTAACCTTTGTTCCTTTTCTCATAGATCTACATGTTAACTTCCCCCAACCCCCTATAAAAAACAGCCTCGGACTCTGAGCCAGTGCCTCTCTAAGCTATTTTGCTTTGGGAGTGCCATCTGGCCAGACTAATAAAGGTCTGTTTTATTTTCCAACTTGTCTGGTGTGTTCCTTCCCGGGTGTTTGTCGCTGCAGTCAGCTCCTCAGAGCGTTTGGTAAGGCCCTTGGTCTTACATTTTGGAGGCCCCAGCGAGATCCCCGGGTAAGGAACCCCAGTTTGGCCGAGACTCTGTGGCAGGATCCAGCAGGAGACTCATAGGCACAGACCTCAGAAAAACCTCCGGAGGTAAGTTTTTGGCCAGTTGCAACCATTTGTTGTTGAGTGAGGTGGCTGATGAGCCGGTAAGCCTCCCCTAACCTCAAGGTTCCTGACGAGGAACAAGGGAAGATTTAGTTTCGGTTCTGTTGTGGTGCCTGTTCATCTTGTTCATCATATGTTAATGTCCTATCTGTTTTGTGTTTACTTCTTTTCCAAATCATCAAGGGCAGAGATGGGAGGATCCAGCTCCAAGAATACTCCGTTGGATTGTTTTCTCATTAATTTTAAATTGGCTTTTTCCCCCTGAGCAGGAGGACGAATATGGGGTTAAATTTTCTCGTGAAAAACTTCGCTCCCTATGTCAGTTGGAATGGCTGGCCTTTGGAGTTGGATGGCCAGCAGAGGGCTCCTTTGATCCGAGCCTCTGCCGGGTGGTATGAAAAAAGGTCACTGGACACCCTAGCCATCCTGAACAGTTTCCATATATAAATATCTGGGTTCAGGCTTGTCAGGAGCCTCTGGCTTGGTTGCAGC